TGGAGTGAGGCGTTCGACATACGTGCTTGAGAAGAGGCATACCTCAACCAGTTTAGATGCTTCGCAATATTGTCTAGCACTTGTTTATTATGTTGTCATGTGGCTTTGCAAGAGAGTGGCGAATACTATTCCCGCAATGAGTTTAGTTATGCTTCAGAAAGTTGATGAGTTGATTCGCAGTTAGTGTAGCTTTGTGTCTGCCCATGTACAGCCAAGGCATTCAAGGCAGAGTTCGCACCCTTTGCCCATTGCACCGGTATCTTTCTTTTGGCACTAAACTTTTGCAATAGTGCCATGCGACTATTGACTTTTCAAACAGTGATGTTAAGTCATGTACACTCGTACAGCACCCTCACTCTTTCACTGTAGGAGAGACAACCTCATTACTATTAAAGACATTCTTCTACCGTCATGGTTTTGAACCGCAGTGTGGTTCGTAGGAAGCTCACTCGTGTTCGAACTAACGTGACGTTGTGACTGAACTGTTGCATTGAGCTAGTGGGAATAGACAATTACTACTGAAGCTTTAAGCGCCAAAATTGCGATGTGATTACGAGACATGCCACATTGAAGGACTCCAGAAAGTTAGACCACGCGGTGCTCTCTAACATCCCTACAGAAAAAAAAGTCCATCACATGAATGGTGGATTGAACCATCCACCATTTTGGTGGATTATGGTGCTGGAAATATTCGTGGCACATGGTGGATGATGGAGTGCTGGCAATTCCGGGGCATGCAATGGCGTCAGAATCACCGTGACATGCTGCCACGAAAACTAAAAATAATAATTGCATAGAAAACGATGCAGAAAGCACTTGTTAATAAAACGTGACCTCGAGGATGCGAACGTGCAACCTTCAGATTTCCAACGGAACATGCTAACCACTACGCCATGCAGAGTTAAGAAGACTCCTCTTAAATCGCCAGTGATCTTACGAACTGACTGTTAACTTCAGTTTTGTTTGTCGCTTACTTCAGGTAGACGAGGCCTGCACCTTCTACTGAAACTGGCACATTCAATAAACACAAACAAATGCTGCCTATAGGACGATTTACACTGCAATAATGGCAACAGCACTATGTGTTTCTTATAATTCACAACCACAAGAAAAAAACCAAGTAGACTGAGGAGCAGGTACAGTTTACCGATGGTTACTGGTAAGTTTATTATCTGTTTTTCGCTTGTACTAAAGGGTGACATCTGTTCGGGCTTTATGACGCCTCTAGGCTCATTTCATAGATGCGCCCATACAAGTGATTCAGTAATGTGATGTTTTTCGCGAAACGTACAGCGCAGTCTTACCAGCGCCCTGCTGTAGCTCTTTCGTTAACAACTACTTAACGGCTTGGCCAAAATTAATGCAGTGCGCCAGAAACATTATGCTATCATATTGGTTTAGTAAGCATTCTCGCATAGGAGCCAAAGAAGTGCAGGCAAGTGCGACCGGCGGCTGTCAGTGACGGGAAACGTACATTTGGTGGAAGTTCTGGCACCGCGTCACATCGATGTTCGTCGCTATACTTGCGCGGACACTGTGTAATATAAAAAATGTTTCATTTAGGTTAAATGATGTCTCGTCTGTGCTGCATTGTGATTCTTACTCGTCGAAATCGTGTATTCTGAAGCCTAGAAGTGGCGATAACACTTGTACAGGCTCGGTTGGTAGGCCTATTCTTTGATGGAAATCAGTGGTGGTAGAAAAAGAAGGCTGAAAGATAAACTCGCTGGGATCGTCTCTACGTATGTTGAAGGTAGAAGTTTATGCACTTTAGCGTCGCAAGCACTTTGTTAACTTAGTAGTACGGCTCAAGTAATTGGGTCTGCAAGAAATGCCAGAGCTACGTTTCTAGCGTGGTGACATCATGTGACCACTGTATTCTGGTCTACCATTGAAAGGGTAATTGCGAACTGGAGCTCATTGATTTCTCGACAACTGCGCGGCGATGTAACAAATTTACTGTAGCTGTTCACAGTGACAACTCTAGTCTTCTAAACATCACAACAAAGCACCACATCGCGCATGTCAAACTGATGTATACGTGCCTGAAATGTAAACATTGACGGCCAGTTCTATGCTGCACAATTATTGAAGCATTGTTGACACCACAGTAAAAAAAAAACGTGCTAAACAGCGTAATGAGCGGCGTTGGTTTTTTTTCGACCATACACATATTTCTCTGCGTATTCGAGAGTGAAACACGACGAATAATTAAGTGATTTCACATACTACCATTTGCTTTTTCATCATGCCACCATCATCCAGCAAGCATCTATCATGCCTAGGTCATCCATCTTGGCAACCAAGCCATCCACCAAACACGTTTTTGTTCGCCACCATCAGCCGGAATTTCCCACTGTCGCCACTTTTTTTCGCACTCTAGCCATCATTATCCGGTATTTTCCGCTGACACCTCCATTGGCTCGCCACCACCACCACCACCATCTGCCACCACTTTTTTCCCTCTCACCATCATCAGCCATTATGACCACTACAGCTTCCATCATATCCACTATCATTTCCACCATATGCAGTATTATTTCCACCACATCCATAAACGATACCAGCACCACCAATCTCGGATAGGGATGCACAGTACACGAGCCTCTAGCATTTCGCCGACGTCGAAACGTGGCATACGTGGCTGGACTCGAACCCACTACCTTTCGGGTCAGCAGCCGACCTCCACAACCTTCATTTCACCAAGTAATACGAACAATTGTGTAGAAAAGCACTTTTATACTACTCTGTGCAGTTTCGCTTAACAATGGGAAAGCTGAATTATGGGTACTGAACTGATCATCTAAGTCTATAGTGCTCCCGATATACGCAACGTACGCTGTTTGAAAAAACAATGTCTTTTTCACTAAGATAGCAGGCGCCCAACAGCATAAGGTAAATAAATAGATAGAGCTCAGTGTCGCGGATACAGCTCAAAAGCGGTCGATGCAAACGTCCCTGTTTCCGGTGCGGTAAGCCAGGTTGTCTACTGAAGTGGCAGTTAAGGCCTCGCAGGTTGCAGGTGTGAGCCTTGAAGGCCTCGACAAGCCCTAACCAAGTGATCAAGCTTCGCCTCTGTGGCTGGGGCAACGCAGAAGGGGTATGTTGTATGTTGTTGGGGAGGCGCTGTATGTATGTAGGTATGTTGTATGTTGTTGGGGAGGCTCTGCACTGAATGCCCTTGCAGCCCGGATGGCAAGAGAGAAGGTGGTAAAAAGCAATGTGATACCTACAATACAGCTTTTAGAGATGCCACCAAGATGGACGCACTGATGTCAGTGTGCATTATGAAGTTTTAAAGATGGCCAGCAAGTCTCTTCCCTCACCGAAGCGGCCTGGTTTATTTACTCCGCTAAAATATTTGCTTTAGCCAGAAGTCACACCTAGCTATGGTTCAAAGCAGTGAATACAACATCGGCACTGTATCTGCGCCTCTCCTCCCAAAGCAGCTTTATCGGCGTGGGTTGCCGCGGCACAAAATTTCTTCTACGTGAGTTAGGAAGTAGTAAACGACTAGCGTTATTGAACGGTCATAATGTCCACAGACAGAGTTTGTCATTTTGGTAAAAAAAGGAGTCGTAGAGTTTTTATTTCACTAACGAGGTCTACATTTTATATGCAAGGTGCTTTAGTGAAAGTTTCAAGGACGAGACCCAGAAACAGGCCCAAATGTCAATGTTGTAATTAGTAACAAAAACTAACAGATATTCTAATGCCAGAAAAACTATAGAAGATGTTTTAGAGGTAATTTTAATTTATATGTGAAGAAAGAAAAAAAGTGGACAAAACGACAACTTGTCACTGGCAGGATCCAAACCTGCGACAATCAAAGAACGTGTCCGATGCTCTACCACAGAGCTATGGTGGTGGTCTTTACTCGTCTGTTTTATAGAATATATACGTGCGCTTAAACGTGGTAGCATAATTCAGGACCACGTGTTGCCATCTCGGCAAGTGTGAAACACGCTTGATACCTGTTATTCGTCACGTGTACATATATAAGAAGCAATCTCATTAAAAGATGGCAGCTACTCAGTAAACCCTAGCAAACCACCTCAAGGATTTTAGTCTGGAATGACGAGACCCTCGCTAATATTGAAGAAAGTGTGAACAGAAATGCTTGTTTTTTTCTTAGGCACAATACAAGTGAGAACTTACAGATGATAATGCCGGGAAAAGTATAATGTATGTTACTAGAAGTAACTGCAATGTAAGTGTGTAGAAAGAAAACTGAACAAAAACATACCCTAAACCTTGTAGTTCGTATTCTGCGAAGCCTCATTAACATTAACAAAATAAACGATCCCTTAAATTTATACTTTCCTGATTGTTGTAACAATGTGACACAACTCGATGATTCTGTCATTTTTACTACAGTAAAAATAAACAGCCAAGAATTAAGGGGGCTTACTTCTTCACCACGTTATCAGCACCCTGCATTAACCATCTCATCTTTATTATGTAGACTTTCTATTCGCATATTCTCAGGAACCCGCAAGTGCTTTGATAAAGAAAAAGTACCTCGGAACGACAATAGCCTGTCTGAGTTTAAGGTTATGCCAAACAGTTTGTGCAATGATGCAGCAACATTTTAAATATGTCTCCCCCCATTCTTGCGGATACTGGAATGGGAAATTTCTCTGAAGACCTAGATGATGTAATAAGTTTTAAACGAACATTTCAGGTGTATATACAGTATATATAGGGCATCAGTAAAAAATATTGTTTACAGTTTGTTTAATATTTACAGTTTGCTTAATTGTTTAATGTTTACAGTAAATTTTGTTTTAACATTCCACCAAAAACAAGAGATTCAAGTCACTAAAAGCGCTGATGCTTGCGTACAGTTTTAGCGCCTATACCTCACGGCTCTTGTTATGCGTAACATAGCATTCGAAAATGCTGGCCGTATACGCTCATTATCAATGCGGTATGAAAACAACTGAAATTTAAGTAGGCATTTGCGCCACTCAAACGCAGCTGTTGAGAGTACCACTCACCATTTTCCATATGATTTGTAGTGTTTCTCCATGTGGTATTTGTCGAATCCTGTTCTGGTTGGTATGTAGTACTCACACATGTAATCAAAGGCGTACAATATTTTGATGTAATTTCTGCATACCACCCATATTTTATCTGCCAATAGTAACTGAATACAAGAAAAGAAGGAAATACAGTGATGATTGAGGTCACTCTGGGCTTAGGTGTTCGAAACACTTATTTTAACACTTTGTCACACAGCCATAGAATGGCTACATTAACCTCTTTACTTCCTCATAAATGAACTGCCAGAATATTTTCAAATAAGCGAAGTTGGAGCGTAGCGACAGATAATGGTTGCATCATTCAAGACAGACTAGCCAGGCCATTCAAAGCTACGCTGAGCAGGTGATGGCAAAGAGGCTAGAATACATGTTTCTTTCGTTAGTGGACGCACTGACGTTAAGCACGTTGCTTCTTTGTTCGAACGAGCAGCTTACTTTCAATTTGTGTGATTAAGAAGCGTGTGCGGGCAAGTGGCGGACATCTCGCAGCTACCACGGTAACTATGCACCTATTTATGCTCAAGTCAGCCACTGGCCGGGCCCGTTCGGTTTATGGCACGGCCGTTTGAGTTTATGGCATCATCTGTCAAGAACGTGGAGAACTTTTTCTACCTGTTTGAGAATTGTAAATTCTAGGCCACGTGCTGCACTTCTAGTTTGGCTTGCGTGTTATCAAAATCATGGACTACCGATCGGCAGCATTTTGACCATGATGAAAAGGGGTAGCAGGGCCGCTTTCAGGCAAAGTCATCAGCTCATGTTTCAAGATCATATAAGGTGGACGCAATTTGGAGTGAAATATTACCCCACCTGCAGCGCGCGTATATCGTGCAAACAGTCTTTGCAGCTTTCCCGTCAAAAACAAAAACACGTGCATGCGTCCAATATACCCGTCCAGTTTGTATTTTGTATTATTCGTCTAAGCGCCAGTCCAGTAGGGACATAAGTGGCCAAATGCATGCTCCACACGCGCCCTGTGGTGCAGTGGCGTACCAACTCTTCGGCGAGTGGGAGGGGGGAAAGGCTACCTCAGCCTTTATATAAATATATATATATATATATATATATATATATATATATATATATATATATATATATATATATATATATATATATATATATATATATATATATATATATATATATATATATATATATATATATATATATATATGTTTCACTGCAGAAACTCAAAGCTTTCGATACTCTATTCTACGACTTCCTGCTCATCCTCATTATCTTCCACTGGATCTTCCACGTAAAAAATAAGAGAATAAGCTAATTTCGATAAGCATATATGTATATATATATATATATATATATATATATATATATATATATTCCAATGGGTTGTTGAACAAGCAATAGTTCACCCGGCACACGAGGGCTTTATTTAGCGCAAGGGCTAACTGAACGCAAGCCTGCGATCACAGCAGGACTTCTTGTATTTCTACTCGATCTCCATGCCCACTGCCCTCGTTACAATCACCCCCGGGCGATGAGGGAGGGAGCCATGCTGGCGACCTAAGGGCAGGTGTACACAGAAGAACCATGGTATGACTTGAGCCGGGAGATGTGTACGATTTCTTGTCCCCGACGGCGCTTGTCCGGAGACGCATCCAGCGGCTCGACAAGGTAGTTGACAGGGGATGTTTGGCGTACAACTCGATAAGGGCCATGGTACCTGAACGAAAGCTTGTGGGAGAGTCCTGGAGGAGTAGAAGGAATCCACAGCCACACCAGTGAGTTCGAAGCAAAGCTCATAGGCGTGGTTGACGCGTCATGGCAATGTTTTTGGCGCGTCTGGTCATGTGACGTGAACGCATGAGAAAGCTTCGGACATTCTTCAGCGTGTGCTGCTGCTCGAAAAACGGCAGTCATCTCTGAAGGGTCCGGTCGATAAGGAAAAATGGTATCCATTGTTGATGATGGCTCGCGTCCATAAAGAAGAAAGAAAGGCGAAAATCCAGTGGTGCTTTGCATTGCAGGGTTGTAAGCATATGTCACAAAAGGCAGTATGCTATCCCAATTCGACTGGTCGGATGAAGCGTACATGGCCAGCATATCTCGAAGTGTACGATTATTACGCTCTGTCATCCCGTTAGTTTGCGGGTGATAGACTGTGGTAGTGCATGTCACACTCGCTCAACAACGCTTTGATGGTATCGGAGAGAAAAACGCGGGCGTGGTCGCTCAGTAACTCCCGAGGTGTTCCGTGCCATAAAACCAGGTTTTGCAGTATAAAACATGCAACGTCTTTTGTGGTAGCAGAAGGTAACGCAGCTGTTTCAGCGTACCGCGTTAGGTAGTCGATAGCGACAATGACCCAGCGGTTGGTACTCGAAGTATAGGGAAGCGGACCGTAAAGTTCGATTCCGACACAATCGGAAGCTCGTGCTGGACATGGTAATGGCTGCAAGGTGCCTGTGGCATGCTGAATGGGCATTTTGCGTCGCTGGCACGTAAGGCAAGACCTTACGTAACGGCGAACGAAACGGTACATACCGCGCCAGTACGTCCCGGTCGTCAACCATCCGGCTTAAGCTGCTCACCTTCTCCTCGTCGTCGATCTATTTCTCCAACGTTACGTCGCAACAGCCCACCGCGAGGGGAAAACTGATGGGCGCCGTTCCGGAAGCAAGAACTGCGTTGGCAGCAAAAATTTCAAGACCTAACTGCTGTCCCCCGAATGAAATCGAACTCTATATTGATGACATTGAGGTGCACGGACTTGTTGACACTGGAGCTAACGTATCTGTAATTAGCGAGAAACTGTACCGAAATTTGAAGAAAGTGACCACTCAACTTACCGCCCTATCTTTGCAGACAGCTACGTCCCATCATATTCAGCCTTCAGCTTTGTTCACTGCACGAGTCGTCATTCAAGGTGCGATGTGCGCCGTCACATTTGTAGTATTATTCTGTTCTTCGCATGACGTTATCCTTGGGTGGGACTTTCTTTCGTCAAATTCTGCTTTGGTCGACTGTGGTTGTTCCGAATTCGTGTTATCTGTGCCGTGCTATGACCCCGAAGGTGGCGCTTCGTGTAGAGTGTTTGCTGGTTCTGACGTTGACATTGCGCCTTTCTCAGCTGTTGTTGTCTCAGTGTCGTGTGCCTCTGCTCCGAAATCGCCTGTGTTGGTTATGCCATAGGTCACATCTGCGTGCCGTCGAAGTTTCATGCTTCTGTTTGCCGTCGTCGTTTTTCGCAATAGTCACGCTGCCATTCATGTGTGCAATCCCTCGGACAGCCCGTCATCCCTACTACGTGGAGAATGCCTATGAAGCTACGAACCTTACGAGTGCATTCTTCCAGCTACTATACTCGATTGTATGGTTTCGCTCCTAATTTGTGCTGTCACTCCTACCAACGCGTCTAGTGATGTTCTGGACGTATTCTCGATTGCCAATGACTCTGAGCTCGCACCAACTCAGCGGCAAGAGATTATAAATCTTCTACTCCGTTTTCGCTCTTCAGTCGATCGTGACCAGTCAGGCTTAGGCCGAACCTGTGCGGTCGTTCACCGTATTGACACTGGTCAACAAGCCCCGCTAAGACAGCGTCCGTACCGTGTGTCATCTGCTGAACGCCATGTCATCGATGAACAAGTGGACGACATGTTGAAACGTGGCATTATCGAGCCCTCCAACAGTCCCTGGGCTTCACCGGTTGTTCTCGTCAAGAAAAAAGACGGATCCATCCGGTTCTGCGTTGACTACCGCCGATTCAACAAGATAACGCGCAAAGACGTATATTCTCTTCCGCGCATCGATGATGCTTTGCACTGACTACAAGGAGCAGAGTTCTTTTCTTCGTTAGATTTACGCTCCGGCTACTGGCAGGTGCCCGTGGCAGAGGGTGACCGCCCGAAGACAGCCTTCGTAACACCGGATGGACTATATGAATTCACTGTTATGCCCTTTGGCCTCTGCAATGCGCCTGCCACTTTCGAAAGGATGATGGATACCATCGACCGAGGTCTGAAATCGAAAACGTACCTCTGTTATTTGGACGACATTGTGGTATTTTCAAGCGACTTTCGACCCACCGCAGCCGCCTCGAGCAAGTTCTTACGTGCCTTTCCACGGCGGTGCCTATCCTCGGCCATGTGGTTTCTAAGGACGGCATTTTCCCGGACCCTACAAAACCTAATGCAGTCGCGTTGTTTCCAAAACCAACCACCATCAAAGAGCTCCGAAGCTTCATCGGCCTATGTTCGTACTTCCAGCGCTACGTCCGCAATTTCGCCTCCATTATCGCCTGCTTGACCAATCTTCTTGCTGAAAGTTCTGATTTGTCAGCGTGGACGCAGGCATGTGAAGATCCATTTAAGGAACTCTGACGGCTCCTCACTAGCCTTCCATACTTCGACATTTCGATCCGTCTGCTCCAACGGAGCTTCATACGGACGCTAGTGGTGTCGGGCTAGGGGCCATACTGGCCCAACGCAAGGATAGCTTTGACGAGTATGTCATCGCCTATGCCAGCCGCACCCTCAGTAAAGCCGAGAAGAATTAATGTCACTGAAAAGGAGTACCTCGCCTTTATTTGGGCAATCGGAAAATTTCGGTCTTATTTATATGGACGTCCATTTGATATTGTGACAGATCACCAAACGCTTTGCTGGTTATCTTCACTAAAAGATCCTAAATGTCGGCTCGCTCATTGGGCATTGCGGTTACAGAAATTCGATATCCGTGTTATCTACCGTTCTGGCCGGAAGCATTCCGACACCGATGCCCTGTCACGCTCGCCGTTGGCATCAGAGCCTGTCTGCTCGCCTATCTCCACCAGTGCTGCCTTGGCAATCAGCATTTCGGACATGCTTTCCGAGCAACGCAAAGATGCTGGGATTTCTTTTCTTTTGGTTTTTCTCTCAAACCGGATGTCCGCTCCAGTTTCCAGGACGCGTCGCCGTCAAGCAGGACACTTCGCTATTCGGGATAACCTGCTTTACTGCCGAAACTACAGCTCGATCAGTCGTAAGTGGTTGCTCATCATTCCCCGACATCTGCGTTTTGACATCTGCGCCACGTTCCACGATGATCCGCAATCTGGCCCCACTGGTTTGTTAAAAACATACACTCGCTTGCAGCTGC